GGACGGTGGGGAGGATAATGGGAGATGGAAGAGGGTAGAGATAGGGAATCAAGGATGGGGGGGGGAAAGCTAAGCATACAGAAAGCAAGAAATGGAAGATCATCTGCTGACAATAACATGTTTGTTGATGTGCTTGATTGAGACAGTATACAGTGTACTCTGGATGGAAAATCTCATTTTGTATGTTGTAATGATGTATAGTGAATGAATGCAAATAAATAAATAAATATATCATAAAAAATTATATAGAGGAAAATTACAGATATGTATATATCTATAAAATATGTACATATAAGTTATATGTATAATTATAGAATACAAAGTAATTTTTGGATTTTTAAATGGAACATGGAACAATTGGACAAAGTAGTTAACATGTATGTCACCTGAAATATTTCACATTCCGTTTTTTTTGACAGGTTTTTTTTTTTTTTTGAGGTTCTTGCCATAGGGCGTGTACACTCATTGTAAAGAGAGAGAGACAGAGAGACCGAAAGTGAGAAATCACCTACTGGGGGATGGCCACGCTACAACCCCTTCTTCTCAATTCTCCTCTGGAGATCTTGGGCACACACACACACAGGTGTGCCTGGTGTGAGCTTAAGCCTCTGAGTCTGGGACTCAAACTGCAGTCAACTACGTGGGAGTCCAGCAATGTAACCATTATGATATTTGCTTGTCCCAAGAGGTTTTTGCCTTAGGACGTGTGTGCTCACCATAAAGACAGAGAAAGACAGAGAGACAGAAAGCAAGACATCACTGCTAGAGGGGATAGCCACAATGCAATCTCTTTTCCTCTATTCTCCTCTCAGGATCTTGGGCACACACACACATCCGTCCAGCATGAATTTTAAGCTGCCAGGTCAGAACCAAACTGTGGTTGACTATGTGGGAGTCCAACCATGTAACCATTATGCCATCTGCTGGTCCTGACATTTTCTGTGATAAGAGCATTGATATCATACCCTTTTGAAACCATTATGATGAATGATGAATTATGAGTCACATTCCCCATGCTTATACTACTCTTCACAACCCTTCTATAATTGAATGTATCCCACATGTCATCTTGTTCCTCTGTAGTTCCAGAAACCATGATTGAAGGATTTTTAATTTTCCCTATGTTTTAGAATCTTAAAATAGTCTCTATAAGGGAAACAGTACCATGGTAACTAAGGCATTGGATTTGCACGTGGTTGTTCATGGTTCAAATCTCAGACCTAGTGGCTAGATTTCTCACTCTTACATCCCCTATCTGGTGAGCACAGGTGATGCCCTGTTGTAAATTAAACAAATAATAATAATAATAATAATAATAATAATAATAATAAAATTAAATAACAAACTAAGGAAAAAGAAAAAATAAATGGCATTGGGCTTGGCAGTTTCTTAACCATTTGGCAAATTTCAGGTACTTTTTGGTCGCTTTTCTATAGTTTTATACACTGTTACTTTAATTCTGAAAAAAAGTGTTTTTAAATTTTTTTGCTGATAATAAAATATTAAATTCAGATCTTCTAGTCAATTATTAACTACACAATGTCTTTTTTACTAATTTGCAAATACATTTTTCTATGCAGTGAACTGGTCTTTATAATTATTTATTTTCCAGTTGGAGATTCTCAACTCTTAAAAGAATATTACTTCAGGGACCAGCAGTTAGCATAATGGCTATGTTGCTGAACTACCATGTAGTCAACTGTGGTTTGAGTCCCGAACCCAGTGGCTTAAACCCACGCCTGGTCTGTGTGCATGCATGCCCAAGATCCTGAGAGGAGAATGGAGGAGGAGGGATTGTGGTGTGGCCATCCCCCCTAGGGGGGGGATTTCTCGCTTTCTGTCTTTCTGTCTCTGTCTTTCTGGCGAGTGCATGTGCCCTATAGCAAAACCTCTCCAAAAAAAGAAAAGAAAAATGGTTCCCCTTTTTTGTTTTTTCATTAGTGTTATATATGTCTTTACATATTTCTCCATTCTCTATAAAATTATTCTGGTCTTAATTTCTTAATACTCAACCTTAATTTAAGTATTAAAAATTCTAATTTTTGTTTTTGGGAATTTTTTGCTTTAGTGAATGTGTGATCATTGGAGAGAAAGTGAGAAATCAGTCCCCAGGGTGGATTACCAAGCCATAATCCCTTCTTCTTTATTCTCCTCCTAGGATCTCATGGCATGCATCTACACATGACTGGCATGATTTTGAAGCCACCATGTCTAGGATTTGAACTGCGGTTGGTCATGTGGAAGTTTAGCAATGTAACCACTACACTATCTGCTGGTCCCCTGATTAGTTAATAAAGTATGTTAAACTAAAGTTTTTATGCAATCAGAACTCCAATTTTTTAAAATTTGTTCTTATGCTTTTTCTTTTTTGCTCCTTTTTTTTTTTTTTGTTATAGGATGTGTGCACTGACTGGTGAAACAGAGAGGTTGAGAAAGAGAAAAATAAAGTGAGACAGCAACACTTGGGGTAATGATCATGCCACAATCCTTTCTCTTCCATTTTGCTCTTGGGATTATTGGACATGCAGGAACACCTGCCTGGCATGTTTTTCAAGCCACTCCATTCAGGTCTCAAACCCACATAGTCAGCCTTGTGGGATGCAACTGCCTTAATCTCCTGGGTGAGGTGAGGTAGGAGTTAGACCCCATTCTAAGTAGATAGGAAATGAGCTCTGCATATTGGAGTTACTGTGGTTTTTCTTTCTGTGGTCTGGTGAATGTTCACCATGCCCCCATTTCTAGTCTCAGAAAAATTTAAGATTTCCTGTTGGCTGGGTGAAAATCAGACTGAAACCACTCACTGGAGCACAAAGTAAGTTTCAAGCCAGTGGGCCTGTGAACTGAATGGTGACCACATGGGAATACAGTGCCTTACCACTATGCCACCTGTTGTCCCCTGTTTCATTAAACTGTAATGTGTTGGGGCCAGCAAGTGGCATGGTGGTTAGAGGTGCTGGACTCCCACATGACCGACCACGGTTCATGTCTCGGACCTGGTGGCTTGCTTTCTCACTCCCTCTCTCTCTCTCTCTCTCTGATCAAGCTGTAAATAATAATAATTAATAAAGTTAAATAAACTAATAGAAAAACTAATCAGGCTTCTGAAAGTTCTCCCAGTCCTACCTGCACACATGTATATAATATATGTAAATGCATTTGACCAGTATCTCTATTACCTGTATTGTTTTTTAGTAATTTTTAAAATTATTACTCATACATTAAATTGATATACGTCATTTATATTGTGTAGAGACTTTATGCGGCATGATATATATCTCACCACGTAGTCATTTTCTTATCTTTTTTTGGAGAGGTTTTTGTTATAGGGCATGTGTGCTCGCCAGACACACAGAGAGACAAAGAGACAGAAAGCGAGAAATCACCCCCCAGGGGGGTTGGCCACACCTCAATCCCTTCTCTTTCATTCTCCTCTTGGGATCTTGGGCATGCA